TTAGTTAATTTACTAAATTTCTTTAGTTTTTTTTGTTTTTCTGCACAACACTCCCCTCTCGCCCCCTACCCCCCCCCCCCCCCTTGAAAAAGAATGTTTTTTTTATTTTTTTTATATATTTTCAGTTTTAATTTTTTCATCTTTCGGTTTACAGGTTCCAAAGTTATGAGTTCGGAAGTTTATGTGTTTGGAAGTTTATGGATTTAGAAATTATAAAGTTTACAGGTTCGAAAGTTCGCGGTTTTGAAAGTTTAGCGGTTCGGAAGTTTATGAAATTTGTGAGTTCGGAAGGTTGTTGGTTCGAAAGTTTATGGCTTCATGTTTATTGTATCTAAATTATTTATGAATACTCTTGAGAAGTTATTTTCCTTAATTTGCGTACCAAACACCGGAAAATGAATAAGATTACTACTTATTTTCCCAGAAAATATTTTCTTGAAAATTCCACGGAGAATATTTTCCGTTATACCAAACACACCCTTAATATTTACCCATAAATTCGTGCTTCACTTCGAAAATATTGGATTTATAGTTATGCTAGATTTGCCGCAGAGTGGATTGCGATTTTATCCTAGTTAACGTTCCTTAGGCATAACTATGCGAGATTTTATCTCACACACACACACATATATATATATACTAAAAAAAGGAAAAATCACTTCCAATGCAATTTAGTTGGAGAGTAAGTTATCATTCTATGTTCAGGTCATATTAGTAGACTTCTTATGAAAAGTTATACCCCTCCGTTTCAACTTACGCGAAAGAGAAAGACTTTTGAATTTGTGGCGTACGAGGTACATATATTTTGTGTAGCTATAAATCATTGCATAAAAGTTACTTTCTTCGGTCCAAATAAGTGACCAATTTAGTTTTTTATTTTGGTCCAAAATAAGTGTCCATCTATATAATCAAGAAAAAGTTCAATTTGTTTTTCTAAAATTACCCTTATGTATGTATCCCTAAAAAATCGTTTACTCCTAAGAGAAGTAAGTGCTACTATAACTATGCTGCAATATTTAATTAAAGGTAGTTTAGTCACACTACCTATTTTTGTTTGGAAATTAGTATTTTCTTAATGGGTATGTCCAATGCAAATTGATCACTTATTGTGGACGAGAAGAGTAATTGTTTCCAGATAAGAAAAAATATATCATTCTTTTTTACACGGATTAAAAAGGAAATAAATTCACATAGAAAGCAATATAAAAATAATGTTAGTATATGTTAGTAATTATTATACTTTTTATGGTACTATAAAACTTGTAACAGACAATAACTCAATACACACAATTTAAAGTCGAAAAAGGATTTAAGTGAACAGGTCCATATTCCTTTATTCAACATCCGAACAGGTTAAACAATTATAGTACAGCTGTACTTATCAAAAAGAGACACTACTAAAGAAAGAAATTAGATCACCTTTCAGCCATTGATTACAAAATCCAATTCTTTACCAAAAATCCTCAAGACAGCATCAGTCTCAGATTCCACCACTCCTCTCTCAATTTGTCAATTTACAAAGGAAAAGACTACAATTTAAATTAAAAAAAAAAAATCCTACTAACAACCTTATTAATATTAATAATTCTATTGATTACTATATTAATGTCATGGCCTTGAAGCCTGGGAAGTTTTTTAGGAGGCATTCAATAGATGGTATGCAAAGAATTTTTTCCTTCTTTCTTCAATTTCTTTTATTGGCCCTTTTTCAAGATTTTTTTTTGTTGTTTTTGCTTTTTTGGGGGTATATGTAGCATTCAGAACGAAGAAAGCCAATTCAGTGAGGAGTGAGAAAGCAGTGATGGGGAAGCGAGTGAAGTTTCAAGGTATAAGTGAGGAATTGCAGAGGATAATAGATGCTAATATGGACAACGTAGATGCCAGGCGTCGTGCTAGGGATGCTTTTAAGGATGTTCAGTTGTCAATTGATCATTGCCTGTTCAAGGTATTCTAACTGCTTCTAATTGAATAACTGTATTTTTATGATTTAAGTAAAATTGAAAATGGTCAAATAGAGCGACATGGACACTGAGGATTCATATGGCCGACTCCAACTTGCTTGGGCTTGAATTAGTTGTTGTTGCTTGGGTTCAGTAGAAAAATATTCATGGTCAGCTTCAAAGTTTGTATTTTGATTGCATCTGATTGAATGGACTGGATACAGGAGAATTTATATAGTCGATCCAACTTGTTTGCAATCGAGGTTTGGTAACTTATTCGAGAAAAGATAAGTTCGGATTGAGGAATAGTTACTGTCAAAAAGAATGTTTAAGGCACAGTTGATTGATTGAATAATTGACTGGACCAGCTATTATGTTTTGCTGATGTAAGTAGAAGGCACCCATCATTTAAGACGACGAGATTGATTATTGGCAACAGGGTTTTGCCTAAGTTCAACTGCAAAGGGATTGAACTAGTAGTATAGAACTTAAAATCTTGCTCTATAGACTGCTTGGTGAAGGTATTGCAACTCCTGCTTATTGAATAACTGTATTTTTATGATTCAAGTAAAATAGAAAATGGTTTATAGTAGAAAAAGATTCAAAGTCAGCTTTGAAGTTTGGATTTTGATTGCATCTGACTGGACGGAAGAGAATTCATATACTAGTTGGGGAATGAGGTGTAGTTATAAGCAAATTAAATTCGGAATGAGGCGTAGTTAGTTATCAAAAATAAAGTGTTTGATAATTGAGACATAGTCGATTGATAGATTAATTGACTGAACAAACTGTCATGTTTGGTTGATGTCAGTAGAAGGCGCCCCTCATTTGACTAAGAGCTTGATTATTGGCAACAGGGTTTTTGCTTAAGGTCTCTCGCAAAGGGATTGAACCAGTATTATGGAACCTAAAATCTTGCTCTATAGACTGCGCGTCCTGTTTAAATTTCCCCTCTTATCTTGATAGAATTGTATAAGTTTGGTGGATTGCAGATAAAAAGTAAAAAACAGTTTCCGATGCCTATGTACACTTGCATATAATGAAGTATCTACAAATAGATCATCTCCAAGAGAAGGGATTCAAGCAGTCCAGTATTCATTGAAATTCACATATTGACCTTTAGCGATTGAAAGGGCATACAAGACTGACCATTCCCTATTTCTTTTCTTTAAGTAAACCTGTTTTCGTACGTGCAATTATCACCTTCTACATTAAGCTAGTTGTGACAGTTGAGACTTTTATGAACGCTTTTCTTTACCTTTCTCGTTTTTCTGTAATCACGGATAGCACCCATATGGAACTGAATCCTTCAAGGATGTGGCATGTTTCGTACTTGTTTTTCATGTCAATTTATTGACTGCTTATTTTGCTTTTGCACAGATGCCGCATGCTGGAGTGAAGATGAAGGAGGTAACACTTCTGCTCTTACATCCTCATTTTCCAGTCCTTTTGAAAATATTCTGATGGCTTCTTCTTGAAGCATCCCGTTTCTTAGCATAAACTAAAGGATCTGTTGTGTAATTAGTTTTCTGTGTACTTTCTAGCGCAGCTAGATTATGAAATTGCCTTCTTTCCAGTTTTCTTCTTTTAGCCAGTTTTCTTCTTTTAGCTAATATGAAATTGCCTTGTTTGGTGAATGAGATCTATTATTGGAATGAACGAATGACACATTAAGAAATTAATTGGGTTTGGTTGCCATTCACACTTTCTATTGATTAATATCCTTGGATAGGAAGTGATTAGTCGTTGAAGTTGTCAACTATAAACTTTATAGGTTATTCGTACAAACCTAAATGCTTTTGTCATTCATTAGATTTTCATTGTCTGTAACAATAACTTTAAATCCGATAACATATCTTAGAAAATTGAACCTTGTTACGGAAGAACTTCATAAAATTCAGAAAAATAGAAATGTTGCAGGACTGGATAGTTATAAGGGAAAAGGGCCAGATATATCCCTCTACTTTAGAATATTGTTTATATGTAACCTTCGTTATACTTTGCGAACAAAAATACCCCTGCCGTCACCAAATTTATAATATATACCCCTATTTTTGACAGAAATCCACAATGGCAAAGACCCTCCTATTAAAATCCTACGTGGCCTGATATTTGGGTGAGGTGGATGCCACATGGCATGTCACCTCGTCACCCTAGCCCTATTCCCCCCTCCCAAATACTCTCTTTCCCTTCTATTTCTTCTTCCGCCATTTCCATTCTTGCCTCTCGGTAGTGAAAGAAGAGAAAAGATTCGAACCCAGATAATTGAATCCAAATCATTATGGAAAATACTTTACCATGTCCAATTTCTTTACAAATACTTGAAGAATCTTACAGATCAATTGTGGCCCACTAAACTGAAAATAAGAATAACATTACTGCAAAAAAAAAAAAAAAAAGAGTTACCATTTGCATTTTCATCCCAAACACAAGTACAAATAAGTAGAATCAATTGGAACCCAGTCAAGAAAAGTGAAGTTTTCAGACTCGAAAAGTAATTCATCACAATTGACTTCACCAAAAAAAAATTTCATTTTTACTCCAAACAAAAAAAAAAAAACTCAAAGAATCAAACAAGTAATCGGTTCAATTGGGAAGTCAAAGTTTTAAAAACCTGATACAAATTGATAACAGACCAACCAAAAACGGAATTTCTCAAAAAATAAAAAATCACATTTTCAATTTGTTTATAAATAAAAGAGAAATTGCACAAATTAGTCAACACCCATTTAAGAAAGAAGTGATTTGTTATTTCAAACATGAAGGTTGCCAGTTGAGTTTAGAGGGTGAGTTATCATGGAAAAACTAGTAGGATCTTGTGATATGGCAGTAAAAGAAAAATAAGCAACTGGACATGTGACAAGAATGGAAATGGTGGAAGATAGAAGGGAAAGAGAAGGTATGGGGAAGGGGGGGGGGGTGAGGTGGCATGCCATGTGTATCCACCTCACCCAATTGTCAGGCCATGTAGGATTTTAATGTGTGGGTCCTTGCCACTGTGGATTTCTGTTAAAAATAAGGGTATATATGATAAGTTTAGTAACGGCAAGGGTATTTTTGTTCGTAAAGTATAACGAAGGTTAAATATAGACAATATTCTAAAGTAGAGGGATATTTCCGACTCTTTTCCCTAGTTATAACGAGGGGTTTATTTTCGTCATTATTAAGGAGGATCATGTAGCATGAATATATTAATTTTAGGACATCAGACAAACTTGGTTTCCAAAACATTGACTAATTTTGCGAGAGATCTGTTACTTTAAATGTAGTTAATTTCTCATGTAAATAATATTTGAGTATCGCTTCAGAAATTTTGAACGGTCTGTTTTTATTAAAAAGTTTTTACTTTGTGAAACAAAATGGGATGATGGGGGTATTTATCTCAATCTTCAAAATGAAGTGAAAGGGGTAATTTGAGAAGAATGACTTGATTTTCCATGAATAATATGACTGGATATTTGTCTTCCTTATTGTACCAAGCGACATGAGAAGAGTCTTTTATATCAGTACATGGTTCATTTTTAGCATCCTATATTAGCATTTAGGTTAATTCATAGCTGATTTAAATTACACAGTGCTTTGAAATTTGGTGGTGCAGTCATATGAGGTTAATTCTCGAGGACTGGAAATCTACTCCAAAAGTTGGCTTCCAGAGACAAGTCCCCCAAAAGCTATGGTATACTTTTGTCATGGTTATGGTGATACATGCACATTTTTTGTTGAAGGTTTGTGGTTGTCAAACACATTTTTAAATCTCGGACTAGTGTTTCAAGGAAGATTGTTCCTGATAGTTTCTCCTTTTTTTAGGCATTGCAAGAAAATTAGCATCGTCTGGTTATGGAGTATTTGCCATGGATTATCCTGGATTTGGTCTTTCAGAAGGTCTTCATGGCTACATACCAAGTTTTGACAAGTTAGTTGATGATGTCATCGAGCGTTACTCAAAAGTTAAAGGTTAAACTTGCCTCAGTTACCTTCTTTATCAGTAACCTCTTGGATTCTTTGATAGGTTCGAGAGTCTAACCAAATAGAACTGTCTCCTGAGTCCTGACAAATGATGTCTCATATACATGCTGATATTATGACTTGCTTTGGGCAAGAGGTCCCAAAATCAGGAATCGGAAAATAACTTAATTACATCTTATTCTTCTTGACACACTACTGAAACAGCATCTGACAGTTAAATGCTGGTCGCAGAAAACGCAGAGATATGTAACCTGCCAAGTTTTCTATTTGGGCAATCAATGGGTGGAGCAGTAGCTCTGAAGGTGCACCTGAAGCAGCCCGATGCATGGAATGGCGCTGTTCTTGTTGCACCTATGTGCAAAGTGAGTTTGTGGAGATGATTCTCAATTCTTATTGATGCTTATTGTCTCAGATCCATGGTTTTGAGTGATGACTTGTATTGTTGTACAGCTTGCAGATGACATGGTTCCACCATGGTTAGTAACACAGATTCTAATCGGTATAGCAAAATTTCTTCCAAAGCAAAAGCTAGTTCCGCAACAGGACTTAGCGGAGTTAGCATTCCGAGATGTGAAGAAGAGAGAACAGGTATGTGGTCTTTCTGCTCTGTAATAGTGCGCAGTTCAAAGTATGATGGCTTTAGGAGGACGGGAGAGAGTGATAGATACAGGATATTAGAGGTTAGTGCTGCTGGGTTTGTTTAGGAATGTCTAGTTACCATTCACATCTCACTCAACTTAAACATGTTTTTGCCTAAGGGCATGTCAATTAGCTTCCAATACGAATAACTTGATTTATTAAACATAATAATTACACAAACCTGTTTCATGTTATGATGTACTATGTTTTCTTCTGCGTGCAGGCCGCCTATAATGTCATTGCTTACAAGCATAAACCCCGTTTACGAACTGCAGTGGAGTTACTGCATACCACCCAAGAGATAGAGAAACAACTAGATAAGGTATCACATGTTTCATCTTATGTTTGTTGTAGTATAGAATATTACCTTCATATTAACTGTTTATTGTAAATAGGACCTTGTGCCTTTGAATATGCAAGTTAGTCCATAGTTGGAAACTTGGAATTCTATTATCGTCTGCGCATATCTTTGCTGGGTTTATTAACCGTTTCTGCTTATTATAACTGGTTTGACTTTATAATTCATTCTAGGTGGTATATCTTTTTCTGCTCTTGTAGTCCATAAAGAGTTCAAGCTCATTTAGCTTGACAAATATTATAAAAAAGTGTCCATAAGTACGAGTCTCTTTCACAATTACCTTTCTGAAAAAGAGAGATTTTTGGAGAGGCGGGAACAACAACAACAACCAACCCATGTAATCCCACAAGTAGGGTCTGGGGAGGATATTGTGTATGCAGACCTTATCCCTACCTTGTGCAGGTAGAGAGACTGTTCCTGATAAACCTTCGGCTGAGGCAAGCATAAGCACAACAATTTAGAAAGAGAGATGCAGGAACCAAGAAGGGAAATATGCAGAAACAATATCAATCTAATAATACACTGAAGCAGAAGTAGCATGAAAGAGAAGCAATCGCAATCTAGGAAAAAGCAAAGAATAGTAATAAAGCTACTGGTATGGGAAGCAAAGACAAACTTCTACTCTAATCCTCGATCCCCACACCCTTCTATCAAGGGTCATATTCTCGGTAAGCTGGAGATAAGTCATATCTTGCCTAATCACCTCTTCCCAATACTTCTTCGGTTTACCTGTACCTCTCCTCAAACCCACAATCGACAGCCTCTTGCACCTCTCGGTGGCACCTATGCATCTCCTCATCACATGCCAGAACCATCTCAGCCTAACTTCCCGCATCTTGTCCACCACAAGGACCACTCCCACCTTGGTCCGAATATCTTCATTCCTGACCATATCTCTTCTAGTATTGTCCACACACTGGGGGCAAGAAGAGCAAGAAAATACTGCTGGCAACCTTTGCTTATGCTAATTTCTTCAAATATACCTAATTTTATTACTTTTTGTTGTGTTTTATCCTAGTGATGCTGTTTGCAATCCAGGGTATTATACTTTTCTCTAACCTTATTCTTCGATAGGTTAGAAATCTAAAATAATATTCACGATTTTGTAGGTCTCTCTGCCATTGCTAATCTTGCATGGAAAGAATGATACTGTTACTGATCCATCCATCAGCAAAGCGTTGTACGAGAAGGCAAGTAGTTCGCACAAGAAACTGACCCTTTATGAGGATGCTTATCATTCTTTACTAGAGGGCGAGCCCGATGAGATGATATTTCGAGTTCTTAATGACATAATCTCTTGGCTGGATGACCATACTTCCTAAGTTAGTTCTCCAATTTTTGTTCTCTCTATATTTTTGTTCTGTCCATTATTTTTATGGTATAGGGAAACAAGGGGGAAGAGCTGAAACAATAAACTACATTTATCCATTATGATTTACATGGTAGGGTGAATACATTGTCAACATACAAAGAGAAACATGATCTATTGATATACTGAGATTAATGCCCCTCCTCTCCCTGGATTTTTTATTTTAAAGAACCAATATTGAAGATTTGAATGTTTTATATGAAATAAAAAGCAATGCATCTTTTAGAGAGTACTGAGTATGAGGCCTTCTTATCTCTCTTTTCATGTGTGATGCACATAAGCTTCAGGAGCTATTTCACTTCATTGGCGTAGCCACCCTATGCCAAGGGTGGTCAATCACACACCCTTTGCCAAAAAATTTTACTGTGTATATAAGTTAAATACTAGTATTTTATATGGTTATATATAATATTTTGAACACCCTTAATGTAGTTGAATGAGGCAGTCCAACATGTGTGGTCTATTTTATTCTTTTTCAATCTAACAATTTTCCTAATAAAATAACTCTTAAAATTTAAAATTCGTGTAGAAATAAATAACTAATCTTAAAAGTAATTTTTAACTAAAAGTTATTTCTTAAATAAATTTATAATTTAAAAATCAAGCTCTACAAAAATTTCTTCAACAAAAGCTCTTTACAAACACATGATTTTCTCTTTCATTTGGTTTTATGCTTACTTTATCAGTAAATTTTTAAATGTTGCCTTCTTATTATTTTAATTTGATTTATAAACTTATAATTCTATTAATTTCTTTTATTGTTTAGCTAAATGTTGCGTAGTTGATCTAAAAATTTTGGTATATCATTTATCAACAAAAAAGATTATTAACTTATTTAAAATTTGAATACCTTTGACGGAATTGTTGGCGACGGCAATGTTTCACTTCAGTATAAAAGTTTGTACCCAAAAGAAGTCAGATCTTGTTCTCAATAGTTAAAAATAGAATCGCTTCTCTCCAAGCGATGCTTTCTATTTCATTTCTTTTCTATTCCTTTTTTCCCCCTTTTCACCTCCTTTTGATCAAAATGTCAAATAAAAAGTGTAAACCAAAAAAATGTGTTTGCACTTATTTTGCTTTAAATCGGATTAATTTAGCTCTAGAAAAATATTAATTACATATCAAAGTAAGAAATAGTGTGAGTTTATGTAACACAAACAAAAACCTCTCATTTTTTTTTATTGTGCAAAACTTTCAGTAGAGACACCAGACTAAAAGATATTCTTTTACTTAGGCAGATCTGACTGGACCAGTGACTAAGGGCATAATTGTTACATTTAATTCACGTATTAATTTTTTGTTGGCAATTACTTATTTGCTCTAGATTGGTCTAGTTTATTCCAAGTCTTATAGTACAAAGTTTTAAAATGATTAAGATGTTTTTTTACAGTGAAGTTGACCTTTTAATGTCCGCTACTACCTCGTGTTCATCACCACTAACTGAGCAAGTGAGCAACTATCATAGCTAGAACCACCAGCCAGTACCATCAGCCACCAACAAAACCAACATTAGCCACCGATGTACAAGTAGTATCACCAACCATTACTTCACATCCATTATTACCTGCCAGCACCGGCTACCTGGGTTGTGCATAATTTAGTAAATATTGAATTATCGTACCGAAATTGAAATTTTTGGTATTTGGTATTCGATATTTTGGTATTTGGTTTAAGTTTTTAAATATTGTCTACAGTATTTGGTATCTTAAAATAAATACCGTAACATTTATACCGTACCAAAATATATATTATATTATACAATATACATATTATTAATTATAACGTAAATATAAAAATTCTAAAATTTTACTTTTCTTTATTCTCTAAGGTCATCAATTAACTCTAAGCAAGTAACAAGACATTTTCAATGATCAAATTTTGTTCTTTTATGTACAGTTTTCTCTCTATGGGTTGATACTTGCTAGTTTTGGATAAAACTTTCATCAACAAATGTTTTTATTTTTGTACTTTTGAGTAATTTAATTAAGAATATTACAGTTTATGGCTGTCACGACCCAAAACCCGACTCGTTGTGATGGCGCTTATCGTGAAACTAGGCCAGCCTCAACTCAACAATCAATCCAATAATAATAAGTTTGAAAATATTTACGGAAGCTTTTAACAGTTAAAGAACTATTTGAAACATAAGAAATTACAAGAATAAATACAATCCAGCCCAAAACCGGGGTGTCACTGAGTGCATGAGCGTCTAAGGAAAAGTACATAGTCTCATATAATGTCTAAGGGAACAACTAAAATACAACTGGAAAGTAAGGTGGAGAGCCAAGGCCTGCGAACGCCGTGCAGGTACCTCAATAATCTTCTAAGTCAGAAGCCTCGATCAAACATCCGCCACTGGATCCAAAATGCCTGAATCTGCACACGAGGTACAGGGGGTAACTGTTTAACCAAAATTTGGGATTTCGGTCAAAGCATTATTTTAGAAGAACTCGGGTTACTGATAATCAAATATATAATGAATAAAAGAAATTGACTTTGATAAGCAGAAGAAAGCAAAATAAATCTGTATATTGCAATAGTATTTCGTGTCCTTGCAAATGTTCAATCTTCCCCCTTTTATATCCATCTCGAAGTAATACGTTTTTTCCATTATCATAATAGTCTTTATGACAATTAATGGCATTAATGTAACGTTATAATTGGTAATCATAACTGATTCATTACAAATTCCATAACGCCTTCCGTAATTAATGCCTATTAACTACCAATAATACGTATCTATACCTCTTTTTCTACAAAAGTTCATTCTTCTGATATAACTACTGAATATCAATAGGTACGAGCTTTTGCCCTTCCCCTGCCCGTGCCTGTTGAAACACGTGCCTTTTTACTTTGCCAATCAGTCACTTTTCTACTGGTCCACGTGTCATGATATATCACCCCGTATTTAATTCTATATACGAACTCAATTTTTCCCAATACAGATAGTCCCCCCACTTGCCATTTATTCTTCAATAGAGTATTTGGGAAGTGGATCTCATTAAAGCGGAAATATTTGTCGCCATTATTTCTTCTCTGGAACTGACACTTCATATGTCACTTCCATTTAATGTTCACAACACGTGGCATCTCTCGGTTGGTTCTGCAACTCTTCAGCGCTTTTTAGGGATTTTTTACGGCTTCATTAATTACGAAACGACAGCTTTCATCATGACGCTTCTGTCATTGCGTCTTTTCTTTTGACGGTTATTTCTGATTATAAATATAAGTTTTCATCTTTGTCTTTTTCATAAAAAGTTCAGAATATTCAACTCTAATTTTCTTCTTCCTCGTACTATTATGTCTTCTTCAAACCCTAACCCTCGGAGAGTCCCTATCGTTGACAGTCTTTCTCTTGCTCCTATTAGAAGTAGGAGAGGAGGAAGACTTCGTAGTTTAGGTTCTTCATCTTCTCGAGGTCCTTCTCTTCCTTCTACGAGTTCAACTCCACCCTCTAGAACTAGAGGTTCTCTTTCCCAAAGGTCTTCATCTAGAAATAAAGAACCCAATGAACCTCTTCGCGAACCTTTGGTTGATGAAATTGTTCCTGCTGAACTATCTTTTTACAATGATAGAGAGTCCATCAGAAACCAAGTTTCCTCTATAGCTTCATTAGATCGTGCCGACATTTACCCAACTCAGATCACTGAAGGTTTGATTTCTGTGGTTCGTAGGGATTGCCATTGGAGTTATGATTTCCCCATTATAATTCCAAATGCAAACCAAAGAATCGCTTCTTACTTGATTGGATTTTCTTTCGTATATACATACCCTTTTACATTGAATTTCAAGCCCCCTATTGACCCAATTATCATTGAATTTTGCCGTTTTTTCGATGTTTGTTTTGGACAAATTGGCCCCATCGTGTGGAGGGTTGTTGCTTGTTTGAGGCATTTGGCCAACATGGCTGGCTTGCCTTTTACTTTCTTCCATTTAATCCACCTTTATTCTCCCAAACTTTTCCGTCATGGAATTTTTACTTTAGTAGCGAGAAGCAAGAGAGTTCTGGTCAGCCCAGAAGACGATAAAGACCGTGGCTGGTATGCCAGGTTTGTTGTTGCCCCCACTGTTGGTTTAGTGGGTGAAGAGAATGTTCCGTTTCCTGAGAAGTAGAATTTTGCACGTAAGTTTTCTTTTCATAACTTTTCTATGCCTCTCTTTTTATTTTTAATGGTTGTCATTTTAACTTCTTCTTCTTTTTCAGCAACCATGGGAATTGTTGATGAGATTCCCAATTTTCGTGGTTGGGTAGAAAAATCTTTCTCATCGGTTTGGTTGGAAAGTGAAAACTCACGGTAAGTGCTTTTTCCTTTATATCCTTCGTATTTCCATTTACTTCTTTCCTTAAAACTTACTTTAATCCTTCTTTTTATCAGGATTTCCCATTCGAGGCATAAGTGCTGAGTCCGTCGTAGCTTCCAGAGTTTCTTTGGAAAGAGCCCAAGAGATAATTTGGGTTCTTCATCGAAAAGGAAGGCCTCTGCTGATCAAGATTCTGAAGAAGAGGAAGAACAAGATGAGGGTTCTTTGATAAAAAGGCCACGAGCTAGAAGACGCATTATTTCAGATGATGAAGCATCTCCCCCTCGTTCTATTCCTTTAATCGAGCCTGTTGAAGCCACTTTGGTGCTTTCCGATGATGACACTCCCGCGGCTGCTCGTGATTCTGTTGATAAGCTTTTTGCTCGTGGGTTTGATAGTGAAAGTTTAGGTCCGGTTTTTTATGAAGTGCCCCTTGCCTCATTTTCCATGCCTGCTCCTGTGATATCTCCTTTACCAGTTGTGACTGCTGCCGTTACTGCTCCGCCCCAGGCTGTTTTAACTCCTTCCACAGTTCCTCCTACAATTGTCCATCATACTGAGGTTGGTTCCTCAAGTGGAAGTGAAGCTATGAGGCAAGTTATCATCGAGGTTCCTGCCGATGGTAACCTTTTGAGGAAATCGGGTCGGGCTGATGTGTGGTTGAAGCCTCTGATTGGTCCAGTTGAGAAATCCAAGCTTGAGAGTCACAACTCTTTGACTTGGATGAATGACATAGTGCAGTCGTTTTTAAGGGTATCCTTTTTCATACTTTACCTCTCCTTTCTTCTATTTAAGGTTCTTACTTTCTTTTTTTCTTTTTCAGATAAATCTAGTTGGCACGGAGATGATGAAGAGAGTTTCCCACGCGGAGCAATTAATGCATGACTATCAAGTTGAAGCGGACAACTGGAGAGAATAGTATGAAGGTCT